GCTCCACTGTACTGAAGGCTTCGCTTCAGATAATTAGTTCGTGGCTTGGGTAGATTCAATTTCATTTCAAAGTTCCTAAGATTATATTCTGAGCCACGAACTGAAAAAAGATTTTGTAGATAGGTAGGTGTGTCACCTTTGAGTGTTTTGAACATCAAGCCAGCTTTAAGTTTTTTGCGTCTCAACGATAAGTTATCCAAGTGTAAAGTATCAAGAAGCACAGTAGCATTAGTGTCATAGCTGGACCTCGTAATGACCCTGACCGCCCGGTTCTGTAATTTTTGTAGTTTAGAACTTAGCGTTACGCCAAGACCATCCCAGACCGAGCAGCAGTAGTCAAAATGAGGTTGAATCAGTGCTTGGTATACTTGGATAGCCGTGTTCGTTGAAATGCAGGATCTTATACGTTTTAAAGCCCCTATGGCTGAAGCAATTTTTTTACATAGTTTGTCAGTATGCTCAGACCACATAAGGTGATTATCAAGATGGACACCCAGAGATTTTACCGAAGTAACTTGGTTGACCATATTACCGTTTATCTCAATATCTATTTCATTATTTAGTGTTTTTATTCTCTGTCTAGATCCAACTACCATGAATTCTGTTTTTACAATATTTAAGCTTAGTTTATTAGTGGTTAGCCAATCGCTTAGACCTTTCAATTCAGTGTTAATGACATTTTGGAGCTCTTTGGCAGAGTCGGATGCATAACTAATACTTGTATCATCTGCGAACATTCTTGCAGTTGTATGATCAAGACAGTTCGGTAAATCATTAATGTAGATGAGGAATAGCAATGGCCCTAGGCTGCTACCTTGAGGTGCACCGCAGGCCACTGGCACAGAATCTGACAGTTGACCGTTTACCCGGCACTTTTGAGTTCTATCAGTGAGGTATGAATGAAACCAAGTAAGACTGTTTTCGTCAATACCATAATTTTTAAGCTTTTGTAGGATAATTTGATGATCGATCGTATCAAAAGCTTTCTTTAAATCAATAAATACAACTCCGTTAATTAGGCCATTGTCAATATTCATGGACCAGTCGCTTGTGGCTTCTAGCAACGCTGTTAGGGTACTGTGGAACGGTCGAAATCCAGATTGGCATGTGTTCAGCAAATTATTTGAATCAAGATACCCATGTAGTTGATCGAAAATGATTTTTTCAAAAATTTTAGCAACACATGGAATAATTGATATAGGCCGATAGTTGCCTGGGTTATTTCTTGTGCCACTCTTAAATACTGGCGTTACTCTGCTTGCCTTCCATTCATACGGGAATATTCCGGTATTAATAGATGCAGTGAATATTCCTGTTAACGAGGGTGCAATAACACTTGCAGCTATCTTTAGGAATTTGTTTGGTATATTGTCCAAACCAGCTGACTTCTTATCATCTAATGTAGTCAGCAGTTGATAAACTGTGTTAACGGAGGGAGTTTTGAGAGAGAAAGATTTATCAGTTGGTTTAAGATAAAATACTGGATCACGCACAGGAGCAGGAATATCGGAAGCAAGTTTTTCACCAATACCTGAGAAGTAGCTGTTAAATGTTTCAGCTATTTCTTCAGGTGCAGTTATTTCTCGCTCTTCAAAATCTAATTGTGATATCTTTTTAGTTTTGCTTACATTTCTAGAGCTTAGTTCATTTATAAGGTTCCATGTTTTTTTTATGTTGCCTTTACTCGATTCAAGATTATTCTTATAATAAGCTTGTTTAGTTTTTTTAATTTCATTATTAATGTGATTTCGAGTTTGTCGATATTGATGCCAGATTTTAGGATCATTGGATGTAACAGCTTTCTTTTTTAGGTAATCTCGGTTAAATATCTGGCGTCTTAAATCTTTTGTAATCCAGGGAGATTTTCTATTTCTAATTCTCCTGGATCTAAGTGGTGCGTGCTTATTTATGGTTTTCATGAGCATTTTTTTCCAGACATCAAACATTTCGTTAGGGTCCTGGGAGCAATAGACACTATCCCAATGGTTTAGTTCAAGGTCGCTTAGAAACAATTCTCTGTTGAAGTTCTTCATTGTTCTAGCATCTATCGTTCTGGGGCCCCCTCGTATATAGTTAGCCTTACGTATCATATATATTAATGAATGGTCACTAATAGATACGTGTATGACACCAGACTTCACAATATTTACAGGTGTATTGGTTAGGCATAAATCGATCAGGGTGCTAGATGTAGCAGTAATTCTTGTCGGTTCGTTTATTAATTGTTCGACATCGTATATATCAAGTATTTCTTTTACTTTATTCTTGCTCGGTGACTCAGTTGTTGGGGTAAAATCAACATTTAAATCACCAAGCAGAAAATACTCTAAATTTTCAGCATCGAACGATCCAATCATTTGCTCGAATTCGGCAAAATAACTAGTAGGTAAATCTGGAGGTCTATACCATGTACTAACTAGGATAGACTTAGATCGTGGTTTCTTAATTTCTACAACTAGATTTTCGAGAGTTTCAGATTGTAGATTATGTCGTATTTTGTAATTAATATTACTTCTAATGTAAATGCAAATGCCGCCGCCGTGACGACCATTTGTACGCCGATCTCTTCGAATGATTTCAAAATTTGGTATATGGATTTCATTGTCATTAATTGATGAATCAAGTTTGGTCTCATTAATACATAATATGTCTACTTTATTATTACTCATAAATACTCGTAATTCATCTATATGGGCAAATAAACTATTTATATTCAAACATGCCATAGACATGCCCCGATGAAATGGTATTTTTTCTAAATTATATAATGAGATATTTGAGTAATTTGATTCGTTTGACTCACCCAAGGTTATCGACGATTGGTCATCTATACTTGGCTGTATTTCAGTATTAGCTACAGGCTCCCACACGGCGTTGTCCTAATGTTTCCTGTTATAAATAAAATCGGTAAAATTGCGTGCCATCTTGATTGTTCCCACTTTATTTAGATGGATTCTGCTTTGGTTTAAATCCTCGGGTGTGATGTTCGTGTGATCGATATATTTCCAATGTTTCTGAATGCAGGTTTGTTTTAGGACTTTATTAACATCGCTGACTTTGCGTGTTAGAAACTCGTCATCAGATCGTGTTATTAAGCTCGAGATTGCCACCTCCGTCTCTGGTATGCATTTTTTTACTGATTCGCCCAATTTAATAACCTCCTCCGCACAGCGCTCCGAGTTTTCACGACTTTTTAGGCAATTTGTGCCGACATGGATAATAAGCTTATCGGGTTTCTTTCTTAATATCGGTTTTATATAATCTGACATATCTAACGTGGTACTTCCGGGGAAGGCAGATACTTGAATTTTTGTGCTTTTCGTTGACATCTTATAACCGTTGACATGTTTACCCATGGAGTCACCCGCCACTATTACTCTTGTTGGCTTAGTGCCTGGGTGGCTTCCCTCAAGGTCGAGGTTCTCATCATTTTTGGTCTGATCGCTTGGTCCAGCTGTCTTTGGTGATGCGCTTCGGGTTTCTTGCCGCATATCTACGTTTGTTTTAGCAACTAATTTCTCAGCATCAGATCTTATTGGTGGTTTATTTTGTTGCTCTTTCTGCTTCGCATTTTGTTTACGTTTCTTTTTCTTATTATTTTCCACTTCAACCCACGGATTTTTATGGGGATCTTTCTTAGTATGCATATTATTCGCCCGTTGGGAATTATCTTCCTGAATTATTTTAATTGTTGTTAATAAGCTGGACTTTTCGCTTTCGAGATTCTGGACTTTTGCCGTTAGGTCTTTTATGGTGGCATTTGCTGCCTCTAGGTAATCTCTCAGACGAGTCTCTTCGTTCTTACAAGTGCCCATACAACATTGTAGTGTTTCGTTCGCCTCGTGAGTTTTCACTCCATTCTTAAGTAATTTTATGTCTCCTTCGATACGCTTGACTTGATCTGCAAGCTCCCTACAACAACACTGAAAATCACAGGTTTTATGTCCGTTTTCATCAGATGGCCTCGCTTTAATCACATTCTTTTCCCCCTCTCGCTGTTTCGTGGTGTGGGAAGATAGCTCAAGACAGGTATCTCTTGACGAATCATCTAGCTTTTTACTTTTTGTCGGCGCCATATTTCCTTCGGGTTGTCTTTGTAGCTCGTCATACGGTTTCTCTTTATAAGTTTTAACGGATTGGTCCTTTAATTTCTTACGTAAATTTTGGTCACTATCATCGCGAACGATCCTAAGCTTCTTTTTAGATCTTCCATGCCACTTTATGGTGTATTTAGGACCTGTATAAACTTTCACGTCGCCGCCGGGCGATGACCAATTTCCTTCAAGCTCCAAGTCATTTTGTATAAATGCCTTCAATCCGTCTAAGGTTCCCTCCCAAGAGAATTCGTTGCCTAGACAAACAAGGTTAATATTCTCCGTTGTTGTTGTTGGGTTTTCATGCCCTGATTTTAAGGGCGAAGCGAAATAGTCTTCAATAATAATAGACTCATCAAACATACGTTCGCTTGCCATGACGCTCACGCTGGTTTCTGACGCTCACGCATATACCATTTATTCAAATATTGCGCCATTACTACACTGAAAGGTTCGTTTAAATGGAAACAAGAAATAACCGTTCTTCCATTGAACGAGCATTATTCTTAACGACTAAATCTCAAGTGCAAAGTTTCAGATTTTCAAAATATTTTTTGCTGCTTTCTGTGTAGCCTTGGTTATTATAACAGCACTTCCGTCGCCGTTTTCAGCACCTTTTTTCTTGGCAACAGCAACAGTTTGCTTCATTTTTTCTGTGTTGGTGTAATTTTCCAGGAATATTTTTCAGGCTTGCCCGGTGTGGATATACACTCAGAGAAACGTCACAAGCATCAGTTTGCTTCATGTTACGCACAGCAAGCCTTTCAAGTGGTGGACAATCGACGAATGTTTCGACACACATAGGCTTAGACGATAGCATTACAACAATGCTTGCATCAACTTTCTTTAAACATTTGAGGTTTGCTTCCGTCGTTTTACCAGTTCGACAATCGATCTTTTCTTTTAGTTCTGAGAATTTTCACGCAATATGAGCAGTGTAACAATTCAGAACAGTACTGTATACCGAATGAATTACACCCGGATGGTTCATAATAACAACCTGCATGGTGAATTTTTTCGATTCTTTTGAAGGATTATTCTTGTTGTCAAAAGTAACTATTCCTCGCTTTATCTCTTTTACAGAAACATTTTTAATATTCAAAACAACACTGGTTCCAGGGATGGTTTCAGCCAAGGATTCATAGTGCTTTTCAATTGACTTTACATCAGTAGTAATGTTAGCAGGAGAAAATTAAATATAAACAACGCGTTGTAATAATAACAGCAAGGCCATATAATGATAAATACTATACGTTCAAATATTGCGTCTTTTTTGACGTTGAAAGTTTCGTTCAAATGCAAACAAAAAAATGACAGTTCCTCGATCGAACGGGCATTATTCTTAACAATTAAATCTCAAGTATAAACTTGCAGATAGTCAAATTATTTTCTTGCAGCTTTCTGTGTAGCTTTAGTTACTTTTCTATCACTTCTAGCTTTAGTTCCATTTCTAACAGTTTGCTTCTTGTCACGAACGGCAAACGTTCCAAGTGGTGGAAAATCGAGAAACGTTTCGACACAATTAGATTTAGACGGTACTAATATAACAATGCCAGCATCACCTTTTTGCATTTGGAGTTTCCTTCCGTCGTTTTACCAGTTCGATAAACGATCTATTCTTTTAGTTCCGAAAACTTTCACGCAATATAAGCAGTGTAACAAATGCAAAACAGGACTATATCTGCGGAGTGGATTACACCAGGATGGTTCGTAATGATAACCTGCGCTTCGAAATTTTTTGCTTCCTTTGGAGGATCATTCGTGTTGTCACAAGTAACAATTCCATGCTTTAGTCAGGGAAGTGGAAGCACAGTGAAGCAAGATGGCGATTTATTTGTGCTCCACAAAATTTTGCTTAATTTTGCTAAATTTTGCTTAAATTTTGTTTGAATTCTGTATAATTTGTCAATTTTGTATTTTGTATGTGTAACAAGATGAGTCAAAACAAAAATCAGATTTCTTTATCGGCTATAGAAGAGGTTTTTGACCGCAAACTTCTGCCAATTGCGATGAAACTTGATCAATGTGTTACAACTGTAGAAGGTCTAGTTCAATCTGTATCTGTAATAAGTGATAAATTTGATGAAATTTCAACAAAAGTTGAAGACCTGGAAGGAAAGTATATGAAGGTGAACCAAGAAAACAAATTTCTAAAGGATGAAGTTTTTCGACTATCGAACAGCTTGAACTCTGTTAAAGAAGACATTGACAATTTCGAACAATATTCTAGACGCGTATGTATTGAAGTAAGTGGTGTACCTGTGACCACTGATGAAGACACAAGTGATTTAGTTGTTGAACTGGGTTCAATTATTGGTTTAAATATCAAAAGAGAAGATATTTCCGTCAGCCATCGCTTGCCTGTCAAAATGTATAGTCAAGCAATCCAGAATAAAGATACATTAAATCCTGGAAGGTATAATATTCCAAGGATTACAGTCAAATTCGTACGTAGAGAGATCAAAGATCAATTTTATTACAGTCGTAAAAAATTAAAAGACAAAACTACGAGAGACCTGGGATTATCTCGATTCGCAGAAAATAAAATTTACATATCGGAAAGTCTCAGTCGAAAAAAGAAAGAATTATTTAACAAGTGCCTCAAATTTAAGCGTGAATGGTATTTTAAGTTCATATGAACAAACTCTGGGAAGATTTATCTTCGAAAAGATTCGACAAGCCCTGTAAGAATAATATCTTCATTCAAGAATCTGGAAGATCTACGACCATAATGTGGTTTCGACGGCAAGATAAGTACTTCAATGTTACAATATGTTCTTTAAAGTGTCTATGACATGAAATAAAAAATTAAATGTTTCAACACAAAGTAAAACCTTTAATACTCTAAAATCACTGTGGAAAATTTGGTATCATTCTGATAAATTCTACTTGAGTTAGAAGCTTGTCAATCTTGGCTAAATAGCAGAAATTTGATAAAAAAATTACGAAACACTGGGACCGAATTTTGACTTGCGCGCTGGTGGTGATGACGTAGGTGTATGGACATGGCATGTGTTCATGAGTCTATGTTCATATAAACAAGATGGCAGAAAGTGATTCTTACTCGGAATCCTCTGTGTATTCCACTGCAAATGAAGGCGAAGAGTCACAAATAGAATCATCAGATAGTGAGGATGTATTTGAACATTCGTCTGTTGTTCAAGCATACTCTAATGAACCATTGGCAAGCACCAGTGACGAATGTTCAAGCGATGAGCAAACAGACGATGAAGATGGCATTCCTTCGGCTACTATTGCCCAAAGATATGACGGAATTATCCCAGTAAATTCATGGTAAGTCGCCTTGATTATTATTTAAATTGTCACTTTAGGCTTATATTAAAACGAAATGAAAATAATTCAAAATATTTTGGGGAATAATGTCTTTCTGAACTCTGTTTATATTTTTTATAAACAAAAGGTGCCAATGTGGACACTGTGGTGTCGAGCTGCTTGCAAATGCCAGGGAATATCGTTGCTGCAAAGAAATCGGCGAATGTTAGGGGAAATTTACGTTCGAGGGAAAGGATGCTTTGTGTATAACAGAACACTGGGAATACTTGCCAATAACCCATGAAGCGGTCTTAAAAAATGTTGGACCACTGTTAGTTACAAAAAGTGGTATACGTTATAAACAACGAAACAGGTTTCGTGTGGACAACGAGTAAGTATAAACCAGCTCTTTTTTATTTTTGTTGTAAACTTTGGCAAATGGTTGTGTATAAACCATGAAAAAGTGTGTAGTATTTATACCTTCAATTTATGCCATGAATGAGTCAGTTTTTTACAAGCAGCCAAAGACTATGTCAGCACATAGAGCAATAGTATGAGTGAGCAAAAGTGTGTAGTATTTATACCTATAATTTATGCCATGAATGAGTCAGTTTTTTACGAGCACCCAAAGACATAGGCCCTGTTTACATGAGACCGGGACGAAGTCAAACCAGAATGAAAATTGAAATTGTCAACATGTTTACATGAGACCGGTACGAAAATCACAAAATTTTCAATTTATTCCCCTTGCCAGGCAATTTTCTTTTTCAGATGGCTTTTGTTAGCATGTGTTGTTCCAATGTCAAGGTTACAGCCGAGACCGGTCTGAAATGTATTTGTGTTTACATTCATCCCGGTCTGAATTCATGCCGGTCTGAAGTCAGTCGGTTCGGTCCAGCAGGCGGAATGACTTGAGACCGGTCTGAGTTATTTTCACCCCGGTCCATGTAAACATCTATTATAGATAATACTATGACCGAAACGAAATGGTCCCGGTTTGACTTTGTTCCGGTCTCATGTAAACGGGGCCATAGTCACCGCATAGTGCATAGTCACCACATATTATCAATACACCCTACTTTGTGAATGGAAGTCCTTACCCAAATGGGTTAACATATAAACAGTGAAATTTTGCCTGACAGGACTCACCTCCTCAATTTGTCTTCACTGAGTGAGCAATTGCAAATTTGAACTGATGGATGATCAGTCACACATATTAAATTTCTTTTGGTACCTTTTTAGGTACCTCCGTGCAGTGGCATATAGATGGATAGTAAAGTGGTTATGTGGGATGGGATAATGCAAGACCTCTTCCTGCATGTATATACATGCATATAAGAAAGCAATATCCAAGCACAGAGACAAAGGGATTTATGAAAGCACAGGAAAGGGAATGAACATTAAATTAAATTAATAAATAATATATAAATTCTGAATGCTAATTGGCTAAGAGTTGTGTTGACATAACTCAATCTCAACATGGAACATTCATTTCTTTATATTTCTTTGTGCTATATTATAAAAATAATAAAATATTTTTCCATATTGATAGTTATATCAACACTTGTGGAAATTGGGAAAACAAGAAATTGTGCAAAAAGCCGTCATGTTTCCACACAATTTCTCGTTTTCCCAATTTCCATGAGTGTCGGACGGTACAACTCATAACTGTTACACATGAATTAAGAGTCTTTGCTAATTGTTGTATTGTTATATTTTTTGTAAAGAAATGTTTTCTACCATATTTTATCATACTATGTACAATTGAATAACATAACAGCAAAAATATTTGCAACATTTTTTATCTCATTTGCAGCTGTTCCTCAGGTAGAGGTTTTTCTGTGTGACTGCTCACTCAAGCACATTCCATTCTCTTTGTATTGTGTAAGTCCATTCTATTAGCAAATTATATATCTACTGTATAAACATATCTCCGGCCATGTTTCTAAAATTAGGAAACATTGCTGTAATTAGTTGTTTTCAGAACTGGCATGTACTCAAGTGAGCACTCATGTAGATAAACTCTACACAAGGAATGGATGCAAAGGAGACTAACCATTTTTAGGACACTGTATAAATTATGTACAAATTAATAATATATTGTTTGCAGCAGGTATCTTTGTAAATATTAAAGTCTTGCACACTCTGTTGCTGAATGGCCCTTCATGAGCTTTCCACATTTTTTACACTGCGGCTTACGTCTTGGTTGTTTAGTGGTTTTTTATGCCAATAGCTCGTTTTGAGATGCCAGTAATGTATCTTGTTCTAAAGCTGCAATTAAATGTCAAATATTTCATTTTTCTTCATTTTGTTCAATAAAATAAAGAGTTTATCAATAATCATAATGTAATTATTTGTAATAAGATGCAATACAGTATGTCTGACTTTAAATTAAGTGCCAGCGCTCTTCCCTTGGCACATAAAATTGTCTGGTGCTAGACAGTAAAATAATACAGTGAAGTTGGGCACATGCAACTCAATGTGTTTTGTTATGTTTTGCAACTCAAAGTGATTTACATGTAGTTACAAGCTCAGATGCTCTGCATATGGGAGAGGGTGTATGTTTTACTGTACCTGCTGGAATTAATTGCACAGTTTTCTGCCGTCTTTCCTTTTGTCGCTTTATGGCATCTTCTCTCTTCATATTTACCATTCGGCTTTGACGCTTTGAAACTGGTGTTGATTTCAATTTATCTGTCTCCACCGGAACAGCATCAATTGTTGGCAGAGCATCGGGCTTTAAATATCTCGCTTTCGGTCTGAGATGTTCTGGGATATCCAGAGAAAAGCTCTGCGGATAACACGAGGGCTCGAAGTGCGCAGAACACACAACGGAGTATTGTGTGGGTGAGAAATTTGTGCGGTGTCTTCTCACAAATTTTGTCCACAATCTTCGTTCGTCCGGTCTTGTTTTTTCCGAAGGAAATTTATGCAAAATTATTCCTGGTGTGTGCGTAGAATTTTTGCAACTAACACCACCAGGACCGCCACAAACACAGTATCTTCCACCTCGCTTCACAGGAGCTTTTTGTGATTCCGCCATACTTGCAAATATAAAACATTAGGGCCATTTATACGGAACAAAATAAGACGCGTCTTACATAAGACGGGACATAAGTAAGACGCGAGTTTGTCGTATAAAAGGTACAAAATTCTTATGTAAGACGCGTCTTGGATAAGACGCGTCTTACATAAGAACAGGTCTTTTAGCTGTTCTTATTTAAGTCGCGTCTTAAATAAGAAATTTTGGACAAAAAGTCTAAATACACATGCCAGAAACTTGAAACAACGTAAAATTTATTGCCTTGCATATTAAAACAAAAACAACAAAAACAACATTATAGCTATAGCAAATAAATAAGACCAAAGCCGTAGAGAACCATTTATGCGATAACTCCACTTATTTAAGTCGCGTCTTATGTAAGTCGCGACTTATTTTGACACGTATAAATGGCCCTATTGTGATACTGATATGTCCATACGCCTACGTCACAGGCCATATGATACCTTGATTGACCGCGCGAAAGAAATTCGCACAATTACTGACAATTTATCCTACTTTAAATCGTTTTAGTTTAAAGAATATCAAACCAATTAACATGAAATTTTGCCAGGTTGTTTTATACATATAGATCTTTCGTAAGTAACCATTTCTCGCTTCGTCTTTCCAAAAATATTTTTAATATTGAAGCCAACGTTGTCTCTAAGAATTGTTTCAGCCAAGAATTCATGGCGCATTTCAACTGACTTTATCTCAGTAGTAACGTTAGCAGAGGATAATTAAATATAAACAACGTGTACGCGTTGTAATAATAAGAGCAAAGCCATATAATGATATAAACCATGTATTCAAATATTGCGCCATTATTACACTCAAAGTTTCGTTCAAATGGAAACAAGAAATGACAGTTTTGAAACATTTTTAAAATTGAAAACAACGTTGTTTCCAAGGAAGGTTCCAGACAAGGATTCATGGTGCATTTTACCTGACTTTACTTCAGTAGTCATGATAGCAGGGGAAAATTAAATATAAACAACGCGTTGTAATAATAAAAGCAAAGCCATCTAAAATATATACCATTTACTCAAATATTGCACCATTACTACACTGAAAGGTTCGTTTAAATGGAAACAAGAAATAACCGTTCTTCCATTGAACGGGCATTATTCTCAACAATTAAATCTCAAGTGCAAAGTTCCAGATGGTCAAATAATTTTTCCAGCTTTCTGTGTAGCCTTGGTTACTTTGCCAGCACTTCCGTCGTCGCCCTTTTCAACACCTTTTTTGTTACCAAAAGCAAAAGTTTGTTTCATGTTTAGCACGGCAAACCTACAAAAGTGGTGGATAATTAACGAACGCTTCGACACACATAGGCTTATACGGTACCATTACAAGTATGCCAACATCGGGACTAAAGGAAAAGATCGATCGTCGAAATGGGGTTTAGTAGTTCCACGATCGATGTTTTCTTAAAGTTCTGAAAATTTCGCGCAATATAAGAAGTGTAACAATCCAAAACAGAAAAATATCCGGAATGGATTACACACGGATGGTTAATAATGGCAACCAGCGGTGTGAAATTTTTTGCTTCCTTCGGAGGATGATTCTTGTTGTCAGAAGTAACCATTCCTTCCTTTATCTCTTTTACAAAAACAATTTTAATATTGAAACCAACGTTTTCTCCACGAAAAACTTCAGCCAAGAATTCGTGATGCATTTCAACAAACTTTGCCTCAGTAGTAACTGTTAATTAGCGGGAGAAAATTAAATATAAACAACGCGTTGTAGTAATTTGAGCAAAGTCATATAATAATACATACCATTTATTCAAATATTGCGCCATTATTACACACAAAGTTTTGTTTAAATGGAAACACGAAATAACAGTTCCTCCATCGAACGAGCATTATTTTCAATAACAAAAGTTTAATGGCAAAGTTTCAGATAGTCAAATTATTTTTTTGTAGCTTTTTGTGCTGCCTTGGTTACTTTACCAGCATTTCTGTAGCACTTTTCAACACTTTTTTCTTGCCACCAGCAACCAGTTCGCTTCATATCACGCACGGCAAACATTCCAAGTGTTAGATAATCGACGAATGGTTTCACACACATAGGTTTACACGGTACCATCACAACAATGCCTGCATCACTTTTCTTTAAACATTTGGGGTTTCCTTCCGTCGTTTTACCATTTCGACAATCGATCTTTCTTTTAGTGCTGAGAACTTTCACGCAATATGACCAGTGTAACAATCCAAAGCAGTACTATATCCGGAATGGATTACACTTGGATGGTTTGTAATGATAACCTGCGCTGTGAAATATTTCGCTTCCTTTGGAAAATCATTCTTGTTGTCACAAGTAATCATTCTTCTCTTTAACTCTTTTACAGAAACATTTTGAATATTGAAACCGAAGTTGTTTCGATCCAGGGATGGTTTCAGCCAAGAATTCGTGGTGCATTTTAACTGACTTTACCTCAGTAGTAATGTTAGTACAAAATAATATACACTTAATGTCTGCTCTTGAGGGAAATAGTTAGTTTTGTTTTCCCGAGAGACTCAATGTTTCCCGAGACGAAGTCGAGGGAAACATTGAGTTTCGAGGGAAAACAAAACTAACTATTTCCCGAGAGAACAGACATTAAGTGTTTTGTTATATAGCGACGAAATAAAAAAATATATATATTCATACAACAATTGTATTTTGTGATAAAAACAATACAAAGTAAGCGATATTAAAATTTAAAAACTTGCCTAAAGTATTTTTACAGCATTTCCTGTTGCCTGCTGTGTATTTTTCGTCTCTTTCGATTCTGTAGTCTTCAAATAAACTTGAGAAAACATTTATAAACTTGCAAGTTCAAAGCAGCCATTTTGTTTTCGGGAGAGCAATAATTGTTTACTTATTGCCCTGAAGGAAACATTGCATTTAATTAGGGTCATGTGACCACAAATCAACCAATCACGGATTGGCTTTCCCCCTAGCTATATAACAATAAAATATAAACATCGCGTTGTAATAATAAGAGCAAAAACATATAATAATTTTTACCGTTTATTCAAATATTGCTCAATTATTGCGCTCAAAGTTTTGTTCAAATGGCAACAAGAAATGATAGTTCTTCCATCGAACGAGTATTATTCTCAACAACTAAGTCTCAAGTGTAAAGTTCCAGAAAGTTAAATTATTTCTTTGCGGCTTTGGTTACTTTACCAGCACTTTCGTTGTCCTTTTCAACACCTTTTATGTTGCCAACAGCAACAGTTCGCTTTACCTCACGCACGGCAATCCTTCCAAGTGGTGAATAATCGACGAACGTTTCGACACACATGGCTTAAACGGTACCATTATAACATTGCCAACATCACCTTTATTTATTTCAATCATTTCGGGCTTGCTTCCATCGCTTTACGAGTTGGACAATCAATCTTTTCTTTTTGTTTTAAAAACTTTCACGCAATACGAGCAGTGTGACAATACAAAACAGGACTATATCCAAAATGAATTTTACTAGCTCATATGGTTCATAATGATAACCTGCGCTGTGAAGTTTTTCGCTTCCTTTTGAGGATCATTGTTGTTGTCACAATGGTCTAATTCGCTTTATCGCTTTTACAAAAACGTTTTCTTAATATTCACAAAATGTTGTATGCAGGGAGGGCTTCAGCCAAGTCGGTGATGGTGCATAATAATAATAATAATTAATATTTATATTGCGCAAATTAACATGTTATAGTATATGATCAAATGCGCATCACAAAACATAATTACGCTAAAATTATTCTAAAAATATAAACAAAATTATTATTAGCAAAATTATTATTATTATTATCATAATAATCAATATTATTATATTATCATATTATTATTATTATCAAAATTATTATTATCATATTATTAGCACTGATGAAGATCCGGGCTTACGGATCGAAAGCTTTGCAGAAATAATTTAAGTGGTGTTTCCACAAACAAAACCTATTATAAACAAAATTAAATAGATTATATGTTACATGAAGTACTTACATTATAGGCTTCTTCAAAATAATAAGTCTTAACTAATTTCTTGAAAATACTAAAGTTATGCAGATTTCTTATATACATAAGTAATTCATTCCAGATTTTTGGAGTGGAAGTTACGACTGCTCTGTCGCCGAGTGTATTCTTTGTTTTTGTACTATAGTTTCCCAGCAATGTGCCTTCGTTAGATCTTAGACTAAAGCACGATGTCTTTCTTACTTTTAAAAGATTGACAAGATAGGCATGGCAATTTTGAACTTGATCCTTAATCGAACGGGAAGCCAGTGTAATTTGATGAGAGTCGGAGTGATGTGATCATGTTTAGGGATAGAACAGATAAGAGGTGCTGCTGTATTTTGTAGCCGTTGTAGTTTAGACAGATGTACATCTGTAACAGCAAGTAGAAGACTGTTGCAGTAGTCTGTCCTTCACATTATTACTGCTTGTACCACAGACTTTCTATCTTCATAGCTTAAAAACGGTCGAATACGTCTAATGTTATGAAGATGATATACTACGGATTAAGTCTTATTTATATGATGTGACATGTTAAGGTTGTTTTCAAACCATACTCCGACATTTCTGGCACACGATACTACAAGAACATTTTCTTGACAAATAACAATACTTTGAGCTGAGCAGCAGTTCCAATTATTAAATCTCTGTCTTCCCATCATTTAGTTTATGCTTATCAACTGTCATCCATGTCCGGATATCCTTGATACAATGTTGTAGTGCGCAAATTACGTCAAGCTCACTAGTAGCACCGCCCGGCTTAAAAGAAAGGTATAATTGAGTATCATCAACATACGGATGCACGTCTGTCAGGTGACACTTAACTATTTCGAATAGCTTGCTTGCGTAGATTGTGAAAAGTAACGGACGGAGACAAGAGCCTTGAGGAACACCATGATGTAGAGAGAAATGTTCGGAGTAGTTCCCATTTATTAGCACACGTTAGGATCTGCTAGTTAAGTAGGATTTAAACCATTCAAGGGCAGTACCTGTTATTTCATAGCCGACCTCAAGACGACGTAGTAACACTTGATGATCTACAGTGTCAAATGCAACACTCAAGTCTAAAAGTACTAGTAGTGAGACTCTTTGTTGGTGCATAGAGCACATGATGTCATTATGTACTTTTAGTAAGACTGTTTCCGTACTACGACATCATCAGGAACGTCTAAGTGTATGGTGAAGTCCCCTAAAACGAGCTGGTGTTCCTTTGATAAATAACGGATTGCATATAGTTAGAGAACTGTCTAATGAAAGTGCCAATGGAGACCTTATGATATTCTGAGTATGACGGTCTATAGATGCCTCTTAACTTGCGAGAACTCGATACTTCTGCTAGTAACTCTAAGTATTTGAAAGAATCTTCTTCACCTGACCTAATTGTGGTAACTCTAAGATTGTTCTTATAAAGAAGTCCAATGCCTCCGCCGCCACACCTAACACGAGGGAATTCTGCGAACTTGTAACCGCCAGGGCAGAGCTCAACTGTAATCGCATCATCAATATTACGTAACCAGGTTTCAGTTATAGCAACGAGATCGAATTTGTTTTCACAGACATATTCAACCAAATCAATTGTTTTGTTTCTTATTGATTGAGCATTTACCAAACATAAAGAGATAAAGGAATTGCGTACTGTTGGGGGAGTTACTTCCATAGTTTTTTAATTAATATCGAAAGCATTTGGTCCAGAACCTACCTCAGTAATAAAGTAAGCAAGAGAAAATCAAATATACACAACGTGTTGTAATAATAAGTGCAAAGCCAGATAATAATATATACCATTTATTCAAATATTGCGCCAAGGATTCATGGTGGACCTCGACTGATTTTTATCACAGTAGTAATATTAAAAATTAAATATAAATAACCATTGTAATAATAAGAGCAAAGCCATCTGATAATATAAACAACGCGGTTTAGCGTCAGTAGCCAGCGTGCAGGCCCATCGAGGGAAGAATAGTGGGCCTGTAAAGAAGACCCGGTATTTTGTATTTTTCGCGTTGGCACACGAACGCAGCGTTTTGAATGGCTGCTTGCTGTTGGATTCTATGATTAAATGAGTGGTTCATCACAAAAGAATTCGACAAGCTTAAAATTGGATCTGATCACTTTTTTCGACTAAAAATGGAACAAAAACAGTCTGTTTATTGTTTACTTGAAGAAAGAGATGTTTTTGCCATTATGCCAACGGTGATGGCTTGTCGAGAAGTGTTGAAATAGCAACATTATCACTTGGGTCAACTATAGTATATTTTACTTTCAAACAGACTTGATACATTATATGTTCCGCAAGAAAATTATCTTTTGGTTGATGTTGACTCTGTTCTTGCTCTGGAGAAAACAGCGCTTTTTCCGCTGACGATTTTGAGACAGTTGTATGTAAGCCTATTCAAAACACTTTGCGTTTTACAGATTGGATGATACAACTAGAGATAATCTTGAAGCTTTAAGGCCCATACAGACCGGACGCTATTTGGCAACGCGACGCGAATTTTCAGTTTTCAATGACATTTAACTTTAATATTTTTCATTGTTTTTCAAATATTCGGGACCACTTAGCAATTTCAGCTATTTGGTCTGCATACCTTGTAAAATTTTTATCTGTTGACAGTTTTATTTGTCAGTTGAAAACTGAAAATTCGCGTCGCGTTGCCGAATCGCATCCGGTCTGTGCGGGCCTTTATGTGTTGAGATTCGCAAACCTTCCACTGCACCATTTCCTGTCGGTACTATTTACAGATCTCCAAGTGCTTCTGTTGACTCTTTTGCCACAATTTAGCAATTAGTAAAAACAATAGATGATGAAAATAAGGAATTTTACATACTTGATGACTTAAATACTAACATGCTTGACACCTCAAACAATGCCACAAAGAATTTAAATTCAATCATGGAATTATATCAATTATCGCAAACGATAAACACACCCACACGTGTGACCACGACCTCATCCTCCCTAATAGACGTTTGTCTTACTCCCACTCCAACTAAGTTAATAACATCACAAGTAATACCGATAGTGATCATCACATGATCTTCGTTGTTCGTAAAATAAATATCCAGCGCAAACAAAACAGTCAGAAGAAAGTCGAAACTGCGTGATCAGGAATGGGAATTATTAGATAACAATCTCTGCGTTGATAAGATGTGGGACACATGGAAATCACTTTTCGTAAAAGTTCTTGATAGGCATGCCCCCATCAGGGAAAAGAGAGTTAAAAGTAAACCAAATGTTCCTTGGCTCACTAGTACAATTAAAAAACAAATCCGCGAACGCGATCGCCTTAAATCTCTTGCTATTAGACGTAAATCGGAAAATATGGCGTGCTGTAAGGAGCTCTGTGATGAGCTCTCTGATAAAACCGATATCTTTCTGAATTTATCGACAACGAGTTTAATTGTTTTTTTCGGCCAAAAGAAAAACAAATTAACATGGCGTGGAACCCTGAATGACTTAAAAACATTTGTGTCGACAATAATCGATGAAAAAGCCGCAGAAAGTGCCGTCTGGCGATCAACAAGCGGCGGTAAGTGGTGTTTCACCTGCGAAGATCTTGAGATTACGTGGCACTCGAAGAGTGGAGCAATAATTTTTGACGGAGTCAAAGCGGGAAATTTGTAAAGCGAATAAAAGATATCCTCTCAAAGCCAGACGGCGCGGAGAAGACTATCAATAGCGGTCTTAACATGGAAGCGAATACTGATCGAGGTTTGTCACGAATCATTGAAAACGAGGTATCTAGTCAACAGTACTTGCTCTGTAGTTATAGAGAGTTTAAAACTCGAGATGGTAATTTTGGAAACTCGGCTACTCAATACCGTAAAGGAGAATAAGTCAGACATTTGCTCGCTTAAATTTAAATTTAAAGTCAAAGATCTAGAAGGTGTCATCAGGATGACGCAATTCTCAAGCTCTCAGAAGATAACTTAATTTTAAAATCTAAATTATCCTCTTTTGAAAACTTAACTTATAAAGTAATCTGCCATGACCATGTGAATAATGAATGTGCTAATGAGTCTGCCAGTACAACCCAGGTTAATGACCAATGTGGATTCCACGACAAAGACCAACTGACTAATTTGAATGCCAACAATTCGAGTTTTATTGAAACTTCAACCAAGGAAAACCCCTCTTTGCTTAATAGACACTTCCCGAATTTGCTTGAGTGCACACGAAACAATAGCTTGGAATCGAGGCGGACAATGTAATCATTGTAAATGACTACATGATTACATTGTCGGCCTCGATTCCAAGCTATTGTTTCGTGTGCACTCAAGCAAATTCGGGAGGTGTCTATAGTACACAAGTTCCGGATCCCCACGAGAAGCAGCGCTTGAAAATAGATCTAGCTACCCAGGGGAAAGAACGGATTAACATAATGACTAATGTAGTTAATGACCAATGTGAATCCCAAGATAATGACCAACCAACTAATCTGAGTATTAACAATCCAAGTTTTAATGAAATTTCAACTAATGAAAACCGCTCATTGCTCAATAGTACACAAGTTCCAGTTTCTCATGACAATCAGCGCGTGGCAATAGACCTAACCACCAAACCAAAAAAAGGGATTAACATAATATACAATCCACAACCTGACAACGAGAATAACTTGGGCAATAATCGACACCCTCGTGCAAAGCACAACACCCCCTGCCCATTCCTTAGGCGTCGAGGGTGGTGCGCAAAAGGAAACCGATGTGATTTCAAACATCCGCATGAAGAACAGAAACATTTGGTGCCCTGTCCTTTCCTACAAAAGTGACGCTTCTGCCTTAAGGGCACTAGGTGCGATTTTTCTCATTGCGCCACTTTTCCTCATAGCATACAGCCAATAAAGCCTATCAAAAACTATCCTACTCCTCCGCTTTTTTACGACAATCGACAGCCTATAGTCCCACAACAATGAAAACACTGGTCCGGTTACAATCAAAGCGTTCAATGGCATCCCAATGGACAGGGGTTTTTTCAATCTCCCCCGAAACCGCTAATGGAAACCTCTTTATGCCCTCCCTACACTTTCCAAATTCCCCCCCTATTGCAGGGCACGGTAAGCCGAAACACTGGTGCAATCCTTGTCGTTAGCGCTAATACCCACAAGATCCCTGTGAGAATTACTAACAACCGTGCAAAAACCGTCGTTAACCAATTAATAATCATTGACAACTGAAATTGGTCAGTACTTCGATACATGACCAGGCCATGAACCGAAACAACATATCAAGATTACCGAGTTTTCTTCTCATAAATGCTCGGTCACTGTTACCCAAAATAGACGAGCTATCCCTCTTACTATCAATACATTCTATAGAGTTTATTGCTGTAACTGAAACGTGGCTCAAAGATACTGTTCCTGAGCAACTAATTTACATAAATAATTACAACATTTTTCGCAATGATAGATCTTACAGCCGTGGTGGGGGTGCCTGCGCTTCCATCTCGACAAATATCCCAGCTAAAAGAAAAATGGACCTTGAAAACCCCTCTCATGAATGCTTATGGTTATGGCTGCAACCCCACCGCCTCCAAAGACACCTAACTGGATTAATCTGCTGTGTCCTATATAACCCGCCTGATACACCAGTCAATGAGCAAAAGGAATTAACGGCCTATCTTATCGATCAGATTGACCGAGTTAGATGTACCCACCCCGACGCGGTGTTGTCTTACTCGGTGATTTCAACAATTTAGATATCAGCGATCTCCTGTGCCATCACAATCTTACGCAAATAGTGGACACCTCAACGCGTGAAGGTAACATCTTGGATCTAATTGTTACTATTCTAGAAGCCTTGTATTTTAAGCCTTTGATTATAGCACCGCTCGGCTCATCAGATCACAACATTGTTAAACGGTCCTCGAAAACTAACGTTTTAAGAACAGATAATAAAACAATTAAGAAAAACGTACGTTCCTTGCCCATGTCGGCACGTGCAGCTTTTGGAAGATGGTGCTCCTCACGTGAGTAGTTCTCTGATGCCGAAAGCAAAAACTCTGCTACAGCTCTAGCGTCCTCCTTTACCAACGAGTTAAATTCTGCTGTTGATAGGTTATTAGATTATTAGAATTCATAACTCTGACAAACCATGGATGACGCCTGCATTAAAAAAACTGATTTTATCAAAGGCAAAAAGCCTTTCATTCAATTCATTTCAAAAAATTCTTGCACAGTCTGAATTTTCCAACCACCCCCTCAAAACTCAAATGATCCGCCCCTAATCAGTGCCTGTTCCGAATTTAGTTGAAAATGAGCATTTGCAAATTTAGCAACTGCTTGCTTTGTTTTTGTTAAACGAAGCCATTTACACATTGCTTCTATTCTGACCAAGCAGAGAAAACACTGCAACATTTTAATGCGAGTTTGTTTACTATTTGGTTACTATCATTGGTTCTTTTTTGACAATTGACGCGCGAATAGGGCGTGTTATGAAAAGGGGCGTCTACAAAACACCCGGTCTTACTTGCATGTCCACTATTTTTTCTCGGTGGGCCTGTACGGGGGCTATAACGTCAGTAGTTGATACTTTAGTTTATACAGGATGTAAATATATGCAGAAAGAATTATGACTCATCAGCTGCCGTGGAGTTGGTACGATTAATACAAAATGTATACGAATACTACAGAGATAAAACTTTTAGCACACAGATACCAACAGATGGGATGCTCTTCGATGACGTTGTGTTATTTGATGATTTTGTAAACCTTGTGATAAAGTCTACAAGGCTACAACCACTCATTGCTGGGGAAGACAAGAGATGATGTCAAATTCGCCATAAACAAGAAGTAATAAGGTAAAGTAAATGTCAAATGAAAAATGGAAATTTTGACATAGATTTGATGTCGTTCCAAAACTGATATTTTGAAGCTTGCAAAATTTGGAAACTAAACAAATTAATACTGCGCAATAACAAAACAATAAACAACGATAACAAGAAAGCAAAACTAACGTACTTTTATACTTAAAGGTGATGTAAAGTCCGTAATGTAAACAAACGCTTTGTTTACATTTTGAACTCAGTGCTACAGATGTAAAATATGATTAGATTTATATTATACTGAATTTTTAACACTTTTCTGGTTCGTTATGCTTGTAAATGAATACACACTAGAGATTCAATTCAATAAAGTTCGGATAGTGCGAAATTTTAACAGCATTCCAAAGGTTGCTCCCCAACTGATGGAATGTTTTGATGCGCAGAATATATGCGCAGAACGGACTTTACCGCATTTTTACACTTCACTAAGTGGTTCTTGCTATTTTTAAGTTATTTTGAAAAAAAAAGCTATAAGAACTGCAGGTATCAACAAAAAATTGCTGCTGCAGCATTCACGATTGTGGCCTGTTGTCTGCAATGGTCACCGAAAAAAAGTATTTAACTATTAGCTGGATTTGATAAACTAAATTTTGAAGTTTGAGTTATTAGGAAAAGTCGTGTAGCAGGTGTAGAACAAAGGTGGAAACAAAAGATTAAGTTTTGCCAAACGGGCTTCAAAATATTTTTACACTGATATTCATGAGATTGCTAAACTTTTGATTGCAAGAAATTACGGACAAAATTTGTCCTACTTCCATATTCACTTGCAAATCACTTTGAAATATTGCTCTAAAGGTAAATAGTAAATTGTACAACGCGACTTTGTAAATCGGGTCATCTGGGAATATGGCAAATCGCTTCTAACTTGCTGAAATCGCCGGTTGCAAAACAAGTATGTCGTAGAATTTAGTGTAAATGTCTTGATTTAAAAATTGCGGTTGCCAAAGAGTATTTTAATAAAACATAAAACAATAGACGCTCTTAAAATTGTAAAATTTTAATTCTTTACGTTTTTAATTCTTTACATTTTAATTTTTTAATTACGGTATAGTCGGAACGCAAAGAATTAAAATGTTTACAATTTTCGGAGAGTCTATTGTTTTGTGTCTTAATAAAGTTATCGCATATCCTACTTTTTTAATTTGTATAAACGTTTATTTCTACTACATTTGTTTATTTGTCTATATAAAAATTCCGCACCAGAAATAAATTAAAAAGCAGAATATAGACATAATTTAAAGCAGGCTAAAATTACACTAGATACCTCGACATATTTGATTTTACAATTAGCGACGTCGACAAGTTTTAAATGACCTGCCTTATTCTCAGGCTTGGCGGTTTACAAAATTAAATCTACTGTCCACAGTGAAAATCATTTTCGAATATGATATTTAAATTAGCATGAAAGTATAGAATAGATTATGTCTAGGATTTTGGGCAATGATTTTTTCAAATTGCAAATATGTCATGGTCTTTCTTTAGGCAGTATATTCCACGCGATTCTTATTTTGCTATCAGGCAAGTCACTTATTGACGATTTAACAGAGTATTTGTTGGCTGAAACTTAATTGCCTTGTCAAAACGACATTGCAAGAAAGTTTGTTGCACATTTGTGGAATTCAGAAAAATTATATTTACTGCAAAATGGTTTAACTTTCTTTTCGGCTATCAAATTTTTGTAAAAAAAATAAACCATTGACGTGCGTTTCAAATTGGCTATGGAGGTGCATATATATTTGATTCATGTATGCACAAAAAGCGAATTAGCCATTCCGAAGTTGATAAGAGGACCGCGGACGAGTGTTAAAAAGTGCCCAAATTGAGAAATGAACTAAATCACAAAAAAACACTTCACAAAGTTTGAAGATGCTTACATGAATACCCTTCAAATAATAAGCTTTCGAACATCGCAATATTTAGTATGAAATGTCCTGTAATTTTTGTTTTGGGGTATGCACGCGTCCCAAAAACAGTGTTTTAATCAGTAATTTCACAATTGTCGAAAGCTTATTATTCCAAAGATATTCATGTAAATGTCTTCAAACTTTGTATACTTACTAATTTGGGGGTGGTCTTTTTAGAGATTTGGTTCATTTCTTAATTCGGGTACTTTTTAACACTCTTCCCCAGTCCACTCATCAACTTCGGAAAAGCTAATTGCAACATCGTAAGCTATTGTTCTTATTCAACATTTTGTATGCAAAGGAATTTTCATATCTGAGACTTTAATAATCGTTGTAACAATAACTGGCGTTGTTATTACAACAATTAACGAACAATCTCAGGAAAGTTTATGCAAACTTGTCAACAAAGAAATAAGGTCAATATTTATCAAATTAATTTCTTGTTTCAGTGTTTATGTTATTGCAGCCACGGTTATTTCATTGATTTCCATGTAGCAGATCAAAGACCCCTAAAAACTAAGGGATTTTGATAACGTTTTTCACAGGAATATTTTCACTAGATGTTCTTAAGCACGATATTTAAAAACGCTCTATATTGGCTTATGCTAATAATATAGGAATGTTTTCAACTATTAAAATAGAGACGATTTGTTTTCAAGAATAACAAAATTATATAGAAAACATATTTTTTCACGGTCGTTATGTTCTCGTACAAGTTTGCATGGACTTTTATTGAGCGTTGGAAACAGGAAGTGCTTGAATTTGTAACAGAGTAAGAACATTTATGTCTGACATACATGTAGTCCAGTGTCATGAACTGTGACCAACATATTCCGCAACCTGGTTGAACATTGATGATAGAAACCAGCTTTGAAGCAAGCGACATTACAGAAACAAAACGTCAACTTTGTCTTCCTGTATTGGGCTGATGAAAGAACAACGCGTGTATTTTATTCGTATATACTTTGGAATGAGATGGAAGTTATTGAGTTGCTGATCTTGCAAGGAAATACGGCCTTATCTGGAACATTTAACAATATGAATATCGCAATTTCCAGACAAAAACAGGATACATTTGAACTTGCAATGCAGAACACTCTTCCAGCTTGTGAATCAGCACAGTATATTATTCTGAGTTTCTTGAATATAACATTGCATTACAACAAAGAATCTACAAAATAGTGGTACACTGATCTAGTGCGATCCACAAAGTCAGCACACCTTCAAGAATTGTGCATCTTCAATTGACAATTTCCAACGGGACATATCCTGACCCATGATTGTTCAGTAACTACTGGAAGCGTCTGTTATGATATCGAATTCAATCGGGAGTGTCATTCACCAAAATTTTGTTTACGTTCCAGTCAGATGTTGAACGATTAAAAAGACGAAAGGTAAATAACTGTCAAGTTTGTTACATAATCTGAGAGCCTAACACGAGTATGATTGGTCAATTCCTCATTTGGACGTCGTTTGAAATACGTACTTTATGAATGGAAAACAAACATCCGGGTGCTATAAGATGCAATGTGTAATATCTAATCTACCATAATATGTGAGGAATATGCTTCATATTTATAACTTTGTAGCTGTTGGAAAATACTAAAAATGGACTTATTACTGTTCGCTTGTGAAGCATTGTCTTTCCTGCAGCCTCTAAATTGTCGAAAGAACGTTGTGGTAATAACGAACCCGTGAACAAATTCGGAATTCAATCGCTTATGGTAATGAAAGCTTCTCAAAATATTCTGAATAATCGGCTTATATTTGCGAACAGTCATTCGTATGATAACTATGAACATGTGCGTACGAATATGGTACATAAGTTCTTTGTATGTTTGCATGGTGATAAAATATAATAGGTTTTGTTTGTGGAAACACCACGTAAATTTATTACTGCAATTATGGTACAGTTGCGATGGTACGAATATGGTACAGTTGCGATGTTGAGCAATACCAGATTGACACCAAAAACCTAGAAAATTCTACAAGAAACTACCAGACGAATTTTGACAAACCACAATCTAGGTTGTGAAAGAATGTTGATTTGAATGTTGGTGATACGCAAAAACCTTTAAAATATATTTGAACATTCTACAGTTTTAGAATTTTACAATTTTATTGTAGCTTTGCTCTGAGAGCGAGTACAGTTACAAAGTGTAAACGCTATCGATATTGACCAGAGGTACTCCACCTTATTCTTAACAAAATGTCCTCAAGCTTTTATTTGCTTTCTAAGAAAAAAATATTTGATAGCCGTTTGAGTAACTAATAATTATTTTCATATTTTTATCAAGGATAGAATTTCTGTATCGAACACTGCTTAATTTAGTAAGCTCAGAATTCAGACTTGTGACAACCTGTCTGATTTATTCTCTATTTGTCTCTAATCTCTGGCATCTCAACGCATTTAAAACAATTTACTCTTCTTATAAGGCTAGACAAAGTCCGCTATACTCAGTCTGGTGTCTTGTGTCAGATCATGCATGTTTTAATCCATATCATGGACTAAAATAGTTCTTTTCGGACTTTGTTTCGCGTTATATTTTTATTGAGATTTTTTGCCCGCTTCAAGTGGTTATACTCAAATTTATAGAGCGCGCATGTCAGAAAGGGTCATGATAGCAAGTAACAAAAATAGCCAAATAGATCATTGGAAGCTTGGGAGTACGCCAAGTTAAAGACTTTAGCATCACAATGGGACGATAGTAAATTATATATTAAATGCTGCTCACAATAAACAGAAATTACTAAATTAGTTTGCATGCCTAATTTATAGCATATTGTATAGAGTTTGTACCAGTAGCGCCTGTTTTAAACTTGTATAAATATTTGTTTAATTTCAATTCATTACAATATATTGTGTTACAAAATTTGAACACGTTTTTTGGCGTCCACTGGAACAGTAGTCGCCATATGCTGTCGGCAACAAGTTTAGGCACATGTATCTATGCAGTGCATGGACGGTTCACTTCCCTGCGAACAGGTTCTTTGGTTATAGGTTAAAGCCCGCGCATGTACGAAAGTTTCCGAACTGTTTACGATGAAATATCATTCATAACTCAATGCCGCCCGGCCATGAAATTTCCGACGTTATTAATATAAAGACCTCCGCGAGTATTTGTAGTAGAAATATGAAAATACCACAAAAATATTCCGCTTGAAAGGTACTATATACTCGAACAATGTTAAATAGCCATAAGATATAAACTAGCCATACTCAAACAATGCATGTAAACTAGTCATACCTATATACAAAACACTTTGAACAGTGTAAACAAATATGTACGACAATGGGTCACTAAGCCATGTATCAAAGGCTATTTTATGAGGATTTTAACGGTGGATTTTGCTTTAAAGGGTGGGTAAATACTTGCCGAGATATTTTAATCTTCCCCACTACAAAGTCGGAGATGTCAATA